CCTGCTGTTGTTCACATCTTGATATCGCGCACGGCTAAACTGACGCTGTTTAATACATTGTTACACCAGGGTGTCAATATTCACTTTCCACACATTGCTGTGGTCTCAGGGGATAAGTGAGATGTAACCGACCGCAATCAAAGTACCTTTGTAGATGTGACGAGTTTTAGACAGGTGGTCAGTGGGGCGTGTCTTTGAAGCAATCTGTCTCAAACAGGTGGATTAAGCTAAGGCGATTAGCAGTGACTTAACTGCACCCCCCCCCCCACTCCCCACCTTCCCAAAATAAACATCCACTAACCCACTTAAACATACAAACACACACATACACCCCGACTCCGCTTAAAATAATAAAACAACAAACAAACAGACAAACAAACAAAAACTTGTGCACAAGGGTTGAATACACCCCTCGTGTGATGTCTATGAATAGAAAAAAACGCGCAACTGATCGATGATCTTTGAAACCCTGCCTTCGAATGCGTTTCGCTGCTCATGATTTTAGGAGGTCTGAGACCAGTGTCAGGGCTGTACTTTTATGTGACGTCTGAGTTTGGCTGTCTGGCGTTGTACGAAGAAAAAGACGTGGGATCGATTTCTCCGCATAAGGAAGTCTATTTCATCAAGCATCTCCGTCTCTAGCTGGAACTGATGTTTCTCTTCTTAGAATCCCGGGTTCACCCTGACACACGGGGTCGAAGTAGCCAGCCTCCTTTATATATTCAAAAGTGAGTTCGTGGGGGCTTAAAACAATTTAAATCCATCGCATGATGAAAAAGAGCGATTGCGAGCGAGGACATTTTCGAAATCTGCAAATGACCTTTCGGCATTCTTGTTTCTCTTGCGTACTGAAAATGTGCCTTCGTTCTGTACCCGAGCATGGGTTATTAAAAGCTGTCAACAGTGTCGCTATACCTTGAACTATCCGTTGGCATTCCTAAACCATGCTCCGAGCAACATTAGGCCGGCTGGGCAGAAGATAAGAAGTAAGAGGGTCCAGTTTAATTCCCTATAGTGGACAGATGTTGTGATTCCCAGTTCTGTTGTTCTAAATCAGTGGTGGAATGCAGAAATAGCGTGAGATCTCCTCTATGATGGCAGGCGTGCTTTTACCATAGATTTGGATTATACCCTAAATCGTACACTGTCAGGGTGTTTGTGTGTGTGTGTGTGTGT